GGGTTGTTTGAGCTCCCGCCTTTGACTCTCCGTCGCGTTGATTCTCCGCTCGCAGTGTGAAGCTCGGAGCGTCATTGAGTAGGTCTTGAGGGAGCCGTATATCGGTGGGCAGAATTACATACGTGTACGGAGCGCCCCCCTCCACGCACGAGTTCAAGAATCCAGGTCGCGTGCTGCCTCGTTCCGTACTCCTGCCGATATTCGTCCCTAGTGCCTCGGAAGCCCCTTTATTTTAACACTACTGTTGCACTCCGAGGGGATTCCGGATTCGGCGTCCAATCCAATCGAAGGATTTCCATGATAATTATTCGACTCGGCAAAGTTACTCGTTGCCCGGGTCGGTCGCTCCGTGGGGAGCACCTCACGATTCGAACGATGCAACAATACTACTCCATCGGAGCACTGGATCTCAGAATCCCCTGCGAGTAAGTTTTTAATCAGATGGCATCTACCTGGATGAAGGGGGAAGTACTCGGTCGATAGCAGAGAGCAGACTGGGATGAAGTTTTCCCCCTCAACAGTGGAAGTTTCCGCATTTCCAAACCAGCATCGAAGGGAGAGCTCTGGTGTCGACGAGAGGAACTCGTTCCCTGGCCTACAACGAAATAGGAAGCCTCATCCATTCGTGCAGATTTCCATATTGGGCTCTGTAGGCTGTGAAAGACACTGGGCGTTTCCGTGCGTCAGCCGCCCTAGACTTCGCGTCGGTCGCTTGCAACTGCCGCCACCAGGGCCACATCGAATCCTGCTAATGCTGCCGCTGCTTGGTCCTGCTCAGGCTACGCCACTCACAGAAAAAAAAAACAGAAAAGAAGAGCCTCCGGATACGTCGGTCGCCCACAAGACAAGCGAGAGTTCCTGATGTTACGTTTGGTTTACTGGTCGGGCTTGCTTCCTCTTTATTTGCGTGTATTTCTGCTCCTCTGTCTGTCTGTAAGAGAGAGTGTGTGTGCGTGTATCTCGTATGGCTAGGCTCTGGAATCACATCCGGTGACGACATGCTGTATAAACATTGACTGACGACCATTGTATCATGCGTTGCGACATGGACACACATCTAGCTTCGGTGAATAGCAGGAACAGACGGACGAGCGCTCTCCGGCTCCTTAATGGCTGTCAACTGTCAGTCTGGGATAGACATTCCGATATGTGATCTGGGTATTGAGGAGGATTGCCGCATTGAGGGTCTCGTCTCAGCGGACTCCGCGGTATATATGGCTGAGACGGTCCAAGGTCGAGCGAGCAAATCCAGGGAACTCGATCATTTCCTATCTGATAGATCCTTGTCGTAATGCATGCGTACTTTTAATTATACTTTTCGATAAGCGAACACCACACCGTGCCACGACAGTTTCAAGTTCGACTTACCACCTCGAGATTCGCAGCTTTCGAGTCGCTCACAGAACGTCACAACAACCTATGGTGACGGTCAAACAACTATCAAGGCGGATGATTCCGCAACGACGGGAGCAGTCGTAGCAGGTATAGCTGCAGATCGGAGAGCAGCGCGAGAAGAATCGTTAGAAGTACTCTGACCCCCTGCTGCCTTGCCACTGTTGCTGCGAGAGAATCGAGCGAGTTAGCATCGGTGGAGGTATTAGCAGCAGAGCCTTCTCTCATGGAGTCCTCATCGTCCGAGCGAGTGACGCACTTTCGGCCTATCTCGCGTGAGTACTTGCGCGGCGTTGGTCGGTCCGTATCTTTGGCCCTCCGTCCGGCCGTCCGACCGTCTGCCCATTCGGCCGGCTGACAGATGGAAGAAGCGTCGGAGCGACCGTTCATCCATCGTTGACTCCTTGACCAATAGACAGGCGGCACATTGTTCACGGGGCCACCTTATTTAGAGAAGTACGACAAGCAAGCCTTTGTGGTCGAAGAGACCATCTGCTGCCAGGATTCACCTCAATCGACAGGGCCTCCTGCCCGCCTCCAGTCGGTCAGTCCTGCGTTCTCCGAAGAAATCGAACCGACCGACTGGCTAGCCGACAGGTTGTTTGCCGCGTCTATCAGCTCGCCGTGCCGTTCTTTCTGCTCGCGCGACAAAAACGACAACGATCGAATAGGGAAGCTTGACGATAATCCTTTGAGAGCTGCCACTGAAACAGCCGATCCGAATAGCGGTCTGTCGGTGTGACTGAAAGACTGAGTGCGCGGTCGGTCGGTCGCCCGATTCGGATCTCGAGTCTGCGACGATGCCAATGGTGTTGCCGAGAGTTACGAAAAGGCTGCGGAGGGAAACAACGAGGGGGATAGCCCATAAAGCTTGACGATATCTCGTGGCAGCTCTGCGTAAACAATCTCCGATAGCACTCACTCAGAAGGAAACAAGGCACCAGGGATTCCTCGCAGGGTAGGAACTCCATCGGGGACGAGTCCGGCCCGGGGCAAAGGGGTGAGAATCGGTCGGATCGTCGTCCGCCAATCTGGTAGGCCTGGGACGGAAGCTGCTGCTCTTGCTGCCGCTGCGCGAGAGAGAATCGAAGGCGAGCGAGCTGAGGAACAGCGGGGTAGCGAGGGAAAATGCAAATGCATTGTTATTGCTAACTCCTCCATACCATCCGGCTCTCTGAGCTCCGTTTCGGCCCAATGATCTTCAGGCGTGAAGAGAGGAAAACGAAGCTCCGTTCCTTTTGTTACAAAGTCTCTTTTGTTCTGACTGAGTTGGTGGTGGTACTGCTGCCGCCGCTGGCGAGGAGAGATGTGACTGCCACCGAACAGCAAGAACTAAAGGATAACAAGAGACTAGGGAGCAGTGCTATCTCGCAGCCGAAGATGTCTGTCCGTGTCTTCCGATCTGAACGTCGGTTGTCTGACTGTCTGTCTGTCTGTCTGTTCGCCTGTCGATCGGTCGGTGGAGCAAACGTACAGATCAAGCGATGGACGGACCGACGGACGGGTGACTAGTCGAAAGAATGAGAGTTCGTTTGAGTGAAAGAACCAACGGAATTGTGTGCCGAGAGCAAGACAAGCAGAACGCTTCTGACGCCCCGTCATCGGTAGATCACCCGGGCCGTGAACACGGAAGGAGAAGCACGCACGCGCGCATGCATGCGTGTCCGCTCCGGAGCTTGCCGAAAACGGCGACGACAGAACAAAAGATCATCTACGTCACGGACTAGAGGAAAAGCAGAGATGAAAGCAAGCGAAGGACATGAACTACAATTTGCATGGGACCATCATTTTTCAGTCCTGCTCCGAGCGAGAGAGCACATCTCACACGTTCGAAGACAGCATAATTTTACGATCAACAGCTTGCGTTACGATGGTGGTGTTGGAAGCGACTGCTTGCTTCGCGACCATCCATGGTGTGTGGTCAGCCATCTTTCGACTATAACCTATCACAGCGAATTTCCATATGATCTCCTCCGAGCATACTACACATTTGCTCACCCACCCTCCTATGCCCACATCCGTCCGTTCGTTCGTTCGTCTGCCGTTCTTCCTGCGCGACTGCTGGCTCGCCCGCCTGCTCGCTCGCTTGCCCGTTTTCCCGCCTAGGCTCATTCAGAATGGAGTGAAGCACGAATGCCTCGCTGAAGGCTGTTCCTTCGTCTTCTCATTTTCCTTATAGCCTCCACTTTTAGATTCCCTTCATATACATTCGGGGAAGAGAGAGCGAGAGCGGCAAGCGACCGAGCGGGAGTGAGCCAGGAGAAGAACGCTGTTGCTCCTGGATGGCGACGGGAGCGATGCCCACGTTTCAGCTGGTCTCACATATTTGTTCAAATAAGCTATTTGTTGCAATGCGGCTCCGAGTGGCAAGCACCGTTGTTTGATCCCAGCTCTCGGCTTTTTTTTCGGCGGCAACACCGACAACGAAAACAACACGCGCACGCTCGGTAGCTGTATGTATTCCCGTGTTGGTACTCGTTCGCAATCACCTCCAGACTCGCTCGGAGGGGCATGCGTTCGCTCCGGGAGAGAACCGGTCACTCATCCGGCGGCATTTTTTGAATTCAAAATTCCGGTTTTCCATCCCTAATGGCTGCTGTCCGCAAAGACACTACTGATCGACTGATCGATAACATGAGGGACGGGAGCGAGCGAGAGCCCCGCTCGTTGCGCAGTCATGGGGGAAAATCGGTTGGAAGTGCACCAGATGCACCAGGTAAGCGTACCAGTTATGGGACAGGTACCAGTTACGGGACACTTTTCGTTCTTAGCGAATTCTAGAGGCGCGCTCAGCATGAGAGTGGGCTGGGATGACATGGAGATCGATGTCTCGAGTCGAGCTGCCTATCTAAGCCCCGAAACTCGATGCCTCTGCTTCCAGCTCAGCTATCGACAGTGATGAAGTTCGACAGCGGAAAATTTCCAAATTGGCTTACTGAAAATCTAAGAGATTTCCCCAATTCCCTCTAGCTCTGATTAGTGTTCTATTCAATTCATGATCGAAATAAGTTTCTGTTCATCATTGGGCAGGAGTTAAGTTCGTTATCCACCCGAAGTCAGATTTTTTCGTGAAACTCGAATCAGAGCGAGGGTGTCCCAAAACTGGTAGACGTATTTTGACACGCTGACCGGTTTTGGGACACCACTGTGTCATTCGCGAATCTCGTTCTTGTTGTTGAAATTCGAGACTCGCGTCTGCTTCGGAGGAATTCAGAGCTTGAGAAAATTCATGCTTTACTGAGAATATTTGTGTTGAATCGTTGGATGTGTCTGGATCGCTTCGAGCCTTCTTCGAGATGCCTACGGTTAGTTTTTCTTCGACCTGTCTTCTCTCTGGAACAATTCTGGACCTCCTCAACAGACGCTCTAGGAATGGGATTCCGATTAACCCCACGTTACAGGACAGTCATTACACCGATGATCAGCTCCACAATGCTCTTGAAGCAGTGAGTAAAGGAATGAGTTTGAGGCGTGCGGAGCAGCGATACGGAGTCCCGAGATCAACCCTGTCGAGGAAGATCGCAAGCGGTTCAAATCAAAGAGAGCGCCGTGGCCCAGAGCCAGTTCTGGGAGAGACCGATCAGGAGATCGCAACGTGGATTCGAAACATGGCCCGCATTGGCTTTCCGGTGACACGTGAAATGGTCCATCAAGTCGGAATCAAGCTTGCAAACGTCGCTGTTCGAGACGGGAATCATCGCGCGGAAGTGATTAAATCTGCCGACAAATGGTTGCGGCTGTTCCTCCAGCGCCACCCAGACTTGGTGCTCCGTACGCCGGAGCACCTTTCTTGCGGACAGGCGAGCCTCACGGAAGACGACATTCGAGCGCTCTTCGCCAGAATCGAAGCTCGTCTCTTGGAGAATAATCTCCAGTCTGTACTACAGGATCCAAATCGGATCTTCAACAAGGACGAAACTGGGATCGCTCTAAATCCTCAGCCAGGTCAAGTGCTTGCTCAGAGAGGTTCTCGCAACGTTCAATCCCGTGGCGGATCGGAGAAGGACCGTGTCACCATGCTGGTGACCGGTTCTGCAGCCGGTTTCCTAGCGCCAAGTGCGATTATCCTCAAACGAAAGCGCGTGCCACCAGCGTTCGTCGAATGCCTCGGTGAGGGCTTCTGTCTGATGAAGTCCAATTCAGGATGGATGACTGGCGTCACTTTCCTGGAATACCTCGAGCGACACTTTCAGCCGTTCCTGAACAGGAGAGGTATCGTTTTGCCTGTCCTCCTGTTCCTAGACAACCACCGGTCGCATCTCACCATGGAGGTCACGACTTACTGCGACGCTGATGGCATCATTCTACTCCCTCTGTTACCGAATGCTACACACATCCTACAGCCTCTGGGCGTAGCGGTGTTCAGAGCGGTAAAGAATGCCTGGCGCAAAATAGGCAATGATTGGAGAGTCAAGAATGGTGGTCGCTCAACGAGGATAGAGGAGTTCTTGATACTCATCCAGCAGGCTTTTGGAGCGTTCGATGCCTCGTGGCTGATGAATGGATTCCGGAAAACCGGTATATATCCCTGGAACCCGAACGCCGTGGATTACTCGAAATGTTGCTCATTCGCGGGGCCCGCGGACTCGCTCGGGCCATCGGGGCAAGCGGGGTCCTCTAGGCAAGCCGGGTCCTCTAAGCAAGCCGGGTCATCTGCGCAAGCCGAGACATCTGCGCAAGCCGAGCCCTCGATGCCGTTCATTGTTGAGCTAGAGGAGCGTATGACCGCTGAACAGCTCAACCTCTTCCAGAATCAGCAGGGAGAGTGGCGAGGTCCCGAACACATGCGGGACTTGTTCGAAATCTGGACGCTCGCGGATCAGGAACTCTCCTCCCACGCCTCCGCTGCATCGGTGGAAGAGCCTTTAAACGAAATCCGGGATATACTGAGTCTCCCACAGCCCTATCAACCTAAACAGCGACGCCGCTGATGGTGGAGGACTCACCTATTCCATAAGTCTCTCCAGAAAGGTTTAAATAAAAAAGTCTATTTCGCTCATGCCTGAAGTGTAGTCTCTGAGAGTCTCGCCAGACGCATACGATCCGGGGTTATTGATGATTCCTGCCCCTCCTGTATCATCCAGACCGGGATCGGTCGCGGGACTTCCCACGACCAATTATGGCACGTCCCATAGCCGGTCGCGGAACGTCCCATAGCCAGTCGCGGAACGTCTCATAGCCGGTCGCGGAACGTCCCATAGCCGGTCGCAGAACGTCCCATAATTGGTCGTGGGACGTCCCATAATTGGTCAAGGGCGTCAAGAATATTCAGATATGTCCCATATCTGGTAGCGAAACGTCCCATAATTGGTCAAGAGTGTCTGGTCATCGAAAAAGAGGTAGCCTCCAGTGTATAAGTACCTAAGCGTCCCATAAGTGGTACGCTTACCCTACACAAACTGGAGAATTCCCTTGCGGGAAGGCTCCGGGGACTGGCGGCCGAATCCGGAGGATGGGACGAGGAGAAACCACCTAGCGGCGGACGTCTGCAATTCCGGGGCGGATACCGCATGGAAATCTGGCCAAGGTGGTTGAGGTGGGATCTCAACCAGACGAAGCCAGAGTGGCTTATCTGGTCTGTTAGCTTCCACAAGCTTCGACCGACGCTCGCCGGCCTGCTTATTCGCGAAACGTGCCTTGCATCCTAGCGCTAGAGCGTCGGATGTAGAAAGAGGCTATCTGAGGACGGCGAGGGTTCAGGTGAATTTCATGCATCTTCTCGGCGGTCGTTTTTACCGGAGCGGGCGCGACCCCGCAGGAACACTCAGCTTCATGGTTCTGGCGATTTCCGGGTTTGGGATACTCGCGCAGCTGGAGGCCTTCCTCGAGGAGAGCAGCTCAGCCGAGCGACAGCACCTCCGGACCCTATAAGGAAGCATTGCTCACGGGCACAGAAAAGCGGCGTACGTCAAGCTCGTGGCTCTCGTCGTTTTGACCGTCGGTGACTGCTGTCAGGGCTTGAAGACGGCTTCGCTCTGCCCGGATTGAGTATCCCAGAGATGAGCTCCGAGTCTCGAGTGCCACACGATCATGCCACGTTTGATAGTTTCTGAGGACCAGGCTTATTCGGGTTGAAAATGAAACGACAGAAAACCTCGAGCAGAAGGTATTCTTTCCCAGAAGCCTCGAGCTCTTGACATATTCTCCCAGTCATCGAATTGCGAAGAATAATGAACTTGCTTACGTGAAGTCGATCAGAAGAAGCTTAGCCCCTCCCCGACGGAGACGGAGCCGTCGACTTGCAGAATGTGGTTCCAAGAGGATGAGTTTACATAAAATTCTTTACGTGTACGTAAGGTTTGCCGGAAGAACTATTTTATTCCTCCATTCCAATTTATCTGGGTAATGCAGTCCATCGAATTCCGGTCCATTGAACGCAATTTCGCCGTTGAAGATGGAGCAGAGAATCCCATCGGAGAATTCCGGCCTGTGATAGTTATGGGAATTAGCTAGATTTGCATGCATCGCCGAACGCGGTGCGACAATCGTCTCGGGAAGGCAGATCGTCAAGCTCATCTACGAGACGGCGGTTTTATTTCCTAGGATTTTGCCATTCCGTCGAAAGGAGCACGGCCGGCGGGTTTGCGACCGCAGACCACGCTGAGCAAGATTTTCAGAAAGTAAGCAAGAACGTGTTCCGCGTCGAGGTCACCACCATCGAGAGGTTTTAGCGGTGGAGCTCATCGAGGAACGAGCCCCGCAATGAGGGTAGGCCACGCGAGTTCGTGCACCCGCTTCGGAGGAGAGTTCGGTGAGCCTTTGTGACAAGCACCCCGATCCGAGAAAGTGTAAGAATGTAACAGAGAGGGCTTTTCGAGAAGATGGAATGATGTTGTCTTCCTCTTTGAGTTCCACGCGGGCGCTCTTGTACAATGTATAAATAATGTTGAGCGCGGTCGTAGGATCGGAGCCGTTTGCCCTCGTTTGCCCGACCGTTCGTGTGTCCGTTGTCGCGCCAACAAAGGGGCTATTGCCGAAAACCGACAGATTTACGTTGAGAAGCCGGAGATACCATGGGCCATGCGGTGCAAAAGGAGGAACGACGTCCGAGAAGCACAAAAGACAGAGATTGCAAGTTGTATCAGATTGCTCTATAAAACGAATGGCAATTCAGTTCTTCTCCCTCGAACAACGACAACAACAGCCGCAGCAACGAAGCTTCAAGCCGGCAGTACAGATGAGCAGGAAGAGGACCTGCGAGTCGGCTCACCCGCCGGCGAGTGAATTTGAATAGAGCCGATTCGTTCGTCCCGCGTTTACAGCTTTCCACGGACAGGACGCGTGGCGACTCGTCTCCTGTTCCCCTGCTACGCTGCTTCGGATGCTTGGTCGGTCGGCTGCTTTGCTCGACCGAAGTCATGAGCAGCCCAAGAAGCAGCAGCAGCGACTACTTTATAGCGAGACCTTACTTAGCGCTTTCTGCTCGGGGAGTCCCCCTGACCGTCGTCGTGTTCGTTGTCATCGTCGACGGAGTCGTTGTTGTTGTGTGACTCTCTCTACCCTACTACTTGCCGCCGTCGCCACCGTCGCCGCCCTTGCTGCTTCTGTCCGACGAGGGGAGGATATCCGTTTCTACGAAACGCCAGCAATTGCAGGAGCGCGGCGCGTATTCTCCCCTGACGTCCAACTCTACCTTACTATCCGCCTTCCGCTGTTATCCTCGATCGTCGTGGGCCTCTCCGCTCACCCGTTTATCCCGCATGACATGATGACCTGGCTGAAGACCATTTCCTCTAGTCTCGGCTCCCCCCCCGAGCGAATAGTGGGAGAGGGGGAGGCATACCGCTTATCTCCCGGTCGGGATCTCTATGCAAGCCTCCTCTCATCCGCTGACGGACGTGGAACATACTCATCCGTGCCCGAGCCCGTCCTCCCTGTTGCGACGTCGAGCGAGAGTTCATCCTTTGACGGGACGAGAGTCGTAGACGCCGATGTTATTTTTCGGTTGCCATCCATCCATCCGTCTGCCCGTCTTACCGTCCGCGCTTGTCCTGTCGAGGAATAGACGTCAAGGGAGGCTGGCTGAACGAATGACGAAGGATGAAACGCGGAGATCACGTGTCGACCGAAAGGCATCTCGAGCAGATGTACCTGGTGTTCGATTCACGAGTGGAGATCGACATGAACCTGTCCACGGTTAAGTCGACGACAGGACACAGCACCGTCATGATTCCTTGCGTTTCGTTCCTCCTTAGAGCTCTCTGAATGCAGTCGCTAATGATCTTGCGAGAGGAACAGTTTCGAGCAGCCTCTCGATGGCTCTCGTTGATGTGTGTTTTTCAACTCCGAATTCCCAGAAGCCATTCCCCTGTGCAGTTCATTCCGCATGCCGAGGAAAAGTCCAGCTTCGATCAGGCCATCTGGAAATGAGAAATAATCTAAGATCGCTGTCGCATAAGCCCACGAGGAATTGGTTCGACGGCCCGAAGCTGATGATAATTAGAACGACGATGTGTGGGAAATTTCAATAGGTAGATCTTCTCCTGTTGCTATTCAATGCCGATATAGATTTCCCTCTTACACAGCTGTCACCCGAAAACTAGACAGGATAAGGGATGGATCCACCGACTAGGGCACAGACAGACAGACCGACCGACAGGGAGACGAGCCCGGGTGAGCTTCTCCCACTTAACGAAGTGAGAGGAGAGGGTTAGGAGAGCCGAAAAGACCAAGTAATGGGAGACGGTGCGAGGACGACAGGGATCTTGGGGGACAAGCGGGACGGTCGGCTGGCAGGAGATTCGCTCGCTAGCTGGCTGGCTTGCTGACTGACTGGGGAGATAGTTGGTTCGCGGATTGACAAGGAGGGAAACGAGAGAACGAACCGAGCGGCAACAGCGGTACCCGTGACCAGACAACTTAGGGTTGTTGGTTTCGTTCGAGTGATCGGTCGAGGCTTTTTATTTTTTCACTGCTCGGGTCCCAGTGGTGCTGCTGACTGGGACCGACCTCGTTTCGAGCTGTAGGCCGGTCGGCAGAGAGACAGGCGGGCATGCAAACAGCTCAGTCCAATATCTCTCGGTGTCTCCGGTCGCTTGGAGGCTTGCTCCAGCCACATGGTATACTCCTCATTAAGCCGGGATTATCCTGATGGACTCCTGTGTCCTGGCTGCTGTGTCCTAGCTGCTGTGTCCTAGCTGCTGTGTAGCAGCGGAGACGTTAGCGACAACGGGGAATAAGCAAGGAGAAGAGAGCGACCGGAGTCAGCCTTCAAGCGAGCGAAAAGACGTGACGAGAGATGTTGGTGGGAAGCCGAGGGACGACCGGGAAAAGAGGAGGGGCGGAAAGGGCAGGGGAGGAGACGAGGAACAACCCGGAGGTCGACCACCTACTTCGAGGTCGAAGCTACGCGTACACCGGGGAACGGTCCGTGTTTATCGAGGGATCGTTCGATCCATCTATCCATCGATCCTTCCTCCAACCAGAAGCCTCGTCCACTTGAGATCGAGCTCTCAGGATCAACAGCAGATAAGACGGCCAGCGCCACTGCCGTAGGTCGCCCGCTGCAGGAACACTGACTGAGTCGCCAGAGATAATGGAAAACGAGGAAGAGCACAGGGTGAAAGCAACCGGAAAAGCAAATCTCGACTCAATAGAGCATCACCGGCACGCCATCCGTCGCAGGACGTACTCGGGGTTCTAACTGCTGCAGTCGTCGACGACGAGCAGATGGAGCGAGTTACGTGCGTCGAGTCTCGTCCCAGAAGAACAATAATTATATTCAGGAAACGGCCAGTCGCCAGGAAAAATCACCAACGCTACACCGATGCAACACGTTCTCGTAAATGCACCCCAAGCAACGTCGTCCCTTGTCGCTGAGTCGACAGTGTTTTTATGCACATATGTTCATGTTTATGGATTTCCGCCCGGTGAGAGAACGTGCTCTTTGCCGAATGGCTACATCTCTTTCCTCACCTTCCGGAGGACCCAC